ATGATAGAGAACGCGATGTAACGAGATGTAGGAGCACAAGAATTGTCGTATCACTTATTAGGTGTACAACTTTGCTTCCGCCGTTTTCCTATAGATGGCTTTAGCAGTAAGTGGTGGTCGAAATAAATAGATCATAGACGTCATACAATAAACTTGGGCATCTATCAACATAACCCCATAGAAACATTAGTCGATTTGTGTCTGCATCATAAAGTTATTCTCGATTGAAAATGTCAGTTTACAAGTCAAATTCTCGTCATTTGCGGGAGGTTTTAATTTTTTGCTTTAATATGAAGAAATCTGCGGCTGAGGCTCATCGAATGCTCTCAAATACTTATGGTGAGGCCGCTATTAGTGAAAGAACATGTCGTGAGTGGTTTCAACGCTTCAAGAACGGTGATTTTGACGTCCAAGGTCATGCTCTGTAGTTAGTAGGGACCGGCTTGGCGTAGTGTATTATGAACGGTTAAAACCGACTGAAACAATCACAGGCGATCGGTATCGAACGCAATTGATGCGTTTGAGCCGAGCATTGAAAGACAAACGGCCGCAATTCAACGAGAGACACGATAAAGTAATTTTGCAGCATGACAATGCTCGACCTCATGTTGCGAAAATGTCAAGACATACTTGGAAACGTTGAAATGGGAAGTCCTACCCCACCCGCCATATTCTCCAGACGTTGCTCCCTCTGACTTGTTTCGATCAATGACACACGGCCTGGCTGACCAGCACTTCCGGTCTTATGAAGAAGTAAAAAATTGGATCGATTCGTGGATAGCCTCAAAAGATGACCAGTTTTTTCGACGCGGGATTCGTACGCTACCCGAAAGATGGGAGAAAGTAGTGGCCAGCGATGGACAATAGTTTGAATCATAAATGTATAACCAGTTTTTTACAATAAAGCCTCGAATTTCGGAAAAAAACGGCGGAAGCAAAGTTGTACACCTAATACTTAGAGACTTAAGTTGTAGACATAAGTAACAAGCTTTTACGTATGACGTACGATTTATTACCGTCTTCTCTTGGAGACATGGCAATAAGTTGTACGTCATACGTTACTTACGTCTACAATTTAAGTCTAAGTAAGTATTACGACAATTCTTGTGCTCCTCGTGCTGTCTCGTCACATCGCGTTCTCTACTATAGCTCTAACGTACAAAAAATTGACTTATATCTTAAAGGTGTATAAATACAAAATGCCTTTAAGACATAAAATAGTTCTTGTGTGTTACTGAAGACATAAGACACTGTCCTAAGATTATAAGTCAACTTTTCTGCTAAGGTCCTTACTAAAGAAATAACACTTAAGTCATAAGACACTTAAAATTATAAGTCAACTTTCTGCTAAAGCATTCAACAGAAAAGCTGACTTATAATCTTAACATGCACTCTATAATAAACCATTAGTAATAAAACAAAAACTAGAAATTGATCAATCATAGTCAATTATTCTTCTTATATTTAATTTATCAATTTTTAGTTTCTGATTTATTACTAATGTTACTTATTATAGAATGGCCATAAGACAATATTTTATGACTTAAGTCTTATGTCTTTAGTAAGGGCCTTAGTCTGGATCTACAATAGATGTTTTAAGCCTTAAACCGTAAGAATTGCCGTAAGAATTGACCAATTAGTCAAATACGAGGAGAATAATTAACTATGATTCGTCCATTTCTTATGTTTTAAGGCTTAAAAACCTATTGCAGATCCGAGCTTAGCAGAAAAGTTGACTTATAATCTTAAGATGTCTTACATCTTTGATAGAATGTAAAATCCTATATTTATAAGAGAAACGCGACCGACTTAGTCAGTATCGCAAAAATACTAAAAAGTACTAGAAGAAGAAATACTAAAAATAGCGTCGTTTGCAAGACGGACTATATGAAATCTACTAAGCAGCCATTTTTAGTACACAAAAATAAGTTCATCATTGGCTGCTAATCACGTGATTGCAATGATCAGAATATTTAACACCAATCGCGCTTCTCTTATACATCTAGGACTCTCCAGTCTTAGTAACACACAAAAACTGTGTTATAACTTATGGTGCATTTATTTTTTGCACTCACACACTTTAAGCACCGATAAGCATCGCTTATACCATTCATTTTCTTATCATAAGAAAAAGACTGAGAAACATTTATGATGTCATCATGACGTCATAAATATTGCTCACAAGCACTTTCATCAAGGTAGGGCAGCAAAAACGTGAGCATTTACAGACGCTTATGGCCAAAAATAAATACAATGAACGGTAGTATAACTTAAAAATAAATTTGAAGTAAACTTATCCATAAGACAAATTTCAATCGGTTGAAATTTGTCTTACGAATAAGTTTACTGTCATTTCAATTTCCGTTAGATTATGTAGATCTAAAGCAATAATTAGCTCATTGGTTTAAATTTACATCTTATAGTTACTGTTGAACATCTTTTACAATGGACAGTAGCAATAGTGGTAATGCTGTAAGACACATTGAAAGTAAGCTGACTTTCCAGTATAATAAGACGTAAAGTAAATTCATAAGTGAATAGTTGAAATCCATCCTACGTTCTACTCTCTTATTTCTTACGGATTTACTCTATGGTAGTCATAGTTAGTTCTTATTTCAAGACTATCTTAAAATACTAATACACTCATTTAATTAGTTTGTGACTTTTTAAGACTGTACTTAAGATGGTCTTGAATATAAGATTTGACTATGAATATCGACTTATGTCCTATTATACTGGAAAATTACTCCTGATACGGCCTTATCACTACTGCTATTGACCATTGTAAACGACGTTTTACAAAAATTTTATCTATAATACTGTGATAAATCAAGTATTCTCCTTATACTTGATTGTAATTGGTCAATTTCTTAAGGTCTAAAACACTTATTGTAGATTCAGATTAATGCACAAGAATTCTTATGATTTGTCTTAAAGATGTATAAATACAAGGTGGTTTAAGACACATTCTACACTAGTAATAAATCAGAGGTTAGAGGCTAGAAACTGACAATCACAGTCGAGAAGAATAATCGACTATGATTGGTCAATTTCTAGCTCCTGATTTTGTATTTATTACTAATGGCTTATTGTAGGATATAAGATATAAATCATAAGACAATTTATTATTAATGGCTTATCGTAGTATATAAAATATAAGTTATAAGACAATTCTTATATATTACTAAAGACATAAGACTTAAGTCATAAGACACTGTCTTAAAATTAACAAGTTAGCTGTTTTAGATTATAAGCCTTTCTGCTAAAGCCTTTAGATTAAATCTTATTAAATAAAACTGAGGGGGTCACTAATGGTTACAGTGTAAAAATTACCCTTAACACGAATTATCTTTAAATTATCTCAGATTACTTAAGATTATCTAATAGTACTTCAAATTATTCCAAATTAGTCAAACACTATCTCATATTACCCAAGATTATCTTATCGTTAGAGTATTTAAAATTATGTTATATTTTTTGATAAATATCTTCGAGAATCAATTTTAGATTTTCACTGCTTAAAAACGCAATTTTACAAAACAAATATTTATTGTATACAGAAATATTTATTGTATATAGAAGTATTATAAACAGAAAATATAAAAATTTCGTAAACATAATATGTATTATATATATAGATAATAACAAATTCGACTACTCATAATACTTAAAATTTTTTAATCTTTAGAGAGCCAAATTAGCCATTATAGTGGCCAGTGGAAAACTCGTCAACTCCTCGTGACATAAACATTCAACATATACATGAATTTTATATTTAAAAAATTCAAAATTTCAAAGCAAAATGCCAGCCCTCTAAAAATTACTTATATAATATTAACTTATATAATATTAACAAAACAATATCCAATTGAATATAAATATTAATTAAAGTATTTTATAAAATAATAAATATTTAAAAAAAAAACATCAATAATAACACAGACTCTTTGTTAAACAATATCACAACTTAGTGTTAATTTAAAAATTTTGCGACTAATCAAGTTAGGTATAAATAAAAAGGGACATTTGTGAAATAAATATCTGAAAACTCTTATACTTAAACATTATTAAAACATATTCCTGACATAATAAAAACATTTTTTTAATTTTTTAAATTGTTTTATAGTCAGTTTTCTATCAGATTTAGAAATAGTTAAAGGATTAACATCCTGCATATTAATAAAGCCATAAAATATATATCTATTCTCTTGACTTCTTAAATATCATCTTTTTGCGGCCACTTAAAAACTTATAAATTTTGAAACAGAAATTTTATTTTAAACATTATTTATGTTAGTATGTTATTGTAAAGAAGTACAAAATACTTGTCATTGACGTTCACTAACTTCAAAAACTCGAAGATTATCTTAGATCAAATGATCTAAGATAATACCTACAATTGCCTACAGATTATTTGATATCCTCAGATTACTTAGGATTTCCTATTAGATTACCAAAGATTATCTAAAAACACTAAAGATTATTTAGATTTAGCAAAAATTATCAAGCCTTTGTATAAAAACTACTTCAGCGACAAACTTCTCAAATAAAACATTCTCCGCAATGCAAATACAACATTTTATAATGCACTATTTTAAAATACTAATTTTCTTATAATCTTCAGCCAGACTCTGTCACACTCAACTATTTCTCTATTTTTTTCTCATCCCACTTTCTCCTAGTTAGAAAAAAACAAAGCTGTACAGTGCCTATCGTCCTTTCTACCGTCCCTATTTTCGAAAAGTATCACATACAGAAAACTAAGGAAGTACTATAACTGTATATAACGCATACTATAGTATTTCCCTAATTTTTCGTATACGATACTTTTCAATAATAGGGGCCTGATCTTCACGTTTCGAACTTCATGCTCTATCTATTCTTATTATGTCTATAAGCTATTTGTGTCATTTTATCTTTATCATAAACCAAGGATAGAATGACATAAATAGCCTAATAGCGTCTCCCCAAACGCACCTTTTGTTATCACTAACAGTTACCCATGTGAGTCGTATCCAAGGCGATGGGATTTCGTTCCCGTTTCGGTGTCCGAGTCGTAGCAAAGCTGAAGCCATGAAAACAATTTCTTAAACAGCAAAACATCGTTCGCAATTGTTGGGGTTTCACGTTCACAGTCACTTAAAAACAATGCGACACAACATCGTGAGTCGAGAGAAAAACTTTTCTTTTCCTCTTTTTTTTCTTTTCAATTTGGGTCGATCCAATATTTCTATTATTTGATAATATATACACGAAATTCATTCGTAAACTCACTGTGCACAAATGCAAAACACTTCAAATCTACATATAAACATGAAAATGGCTTCCACTCCGAAAGATCACAACCAGCCTTCAATGTGTGTGGTATTTATTTTGCGATTTTTCTAACCATCTTCACATTTAACGGTAAAAATAGTTCTTCAAAATGCTCATAAGTTTCACGACATAAAATCCGCGTTCTGAAGTTAGATCAGGTTAGATAGATTAGGCTGCGTACATACATGGCGATAAATGAACAAAATGATTACGCACGCATAAGGATATTTAACTTTTAAGGTGCTTTTACATGGCAGCGTCAAGCGTCGAGCGTCAGAGCACGAGCAGTAATATGTTTAATAATTTTACTGAAATTGAATTTAATGTACAAGAACTGAAGTTGAATTTAAGGTACATTAATAGAATCTTATAGTTTACACTATATAATGTAAATAAATATAAATTTTTCAGCATTATATATTAGAATAGTAGTGTATATCAGAACATAACCTCTCATAATTTGCCATTTTGGGTACGGTTAACGCGATGTTGTAAACGCTTTGAAGCATTTTTTTAATTGATCAGTTTATAAAATTCTTTCTTCTAATTCCATCAAACACTTCAAAGCATTTGTAGCGAGAGGGCTGCCGCAAACAAAATTTCTGTAAAAGTAACCTTAAAATGAACGTAAGTTGATGAGCCAAGGATACTGCTTTAAATCTACGTACTCTAATGGAAATAGAAATAACAATAAACTTATCTATAAGGCGAGTTTCAATCAGTTGAAATTCTCCTTATTACGAGGTTATGGATAAGTTTACTGTTATTTCCATTTTCATTAGATTATGTAAAGCAGTATCCTGATTGGCTCATCGGTTAAGTTTACACCTTACGCATATTGTTACGGAATTTTGTGTGCGGTAGCTCTGACCACAGCATTTGCGTCAAGAAACTACGCAAAAAAATTATTGCGCAGGAGTCTAGAGATTCAAACTTCTGCGCAGATGCTCAATGCTCGACGCTTGCATGCAATGGTATGCTGAAACGTATTGCATAACCGTGTAACCAATCAGCAATCAATAAAACTCGAAATCGAAGCAACGGATCGCTTCTGATTGATTATGCAGGGGCCCTATTCTTGAAAAGCATCGCGTACGAAAAATTAGAGAAATGTGTACGTAACATATACTATAGTATTTTTTAAGTTTTATGTAATACTTTTCAAGACTAAAAGGCCCAGATTAGGGCCTCTGTTCTTGAGTATCGCACATGAAAAACTAGGTGCTTTCCATTTGATGCATCTAGTGTCCCTAGAATACAGAGTTCGGATATCTTGTAGATCACTTTTTATTGGATCAGAAATCAAATCCTCTAAAAATGATAAAACCAATCACCACACTTTTACAATTTTTGGAAAGATAATGCATTGTATTACATGTCTTCCATGAAATGGAACATTTTATTACGCAATTGTATGACATTGTGTATTTTGTAAATATAGAGAATTATTGTCATAGTACTTTATATCATGTCATAGTACTATACTTATAAATATTCATACTACTATTCTACTTTCTGTATTTATAACACATTAATAATTAATAATATTATAATATAATAATAATAATAATTTTTTGTTAGCATGTGAATACATCCATTCTCCATCCATTCTCCATTATTATCCATTTTCCCATATGTCATCAAAGGAATAATAAATTAGATTGGATATTAAACAAACACAATATCCAAACTATCTTTAAACCATTCAAAAAGATAAGAAATTTTAAGAAATCCTAAAGATCAAAATGCGCAGATATATAGAATGACATATAGAACTATCGAGTGCAATGGTGAGAGTAGAAAGACGAGTCGAGTGAGAAGTAGATAAATAGAGAATGCAGAGAGAATCAAGGAAGAGAATGCAGCGGATAGTGTTTCTCTCCTTTGATTGGTTCCTCCATTTATAGTGTAAGAAATAAGCATTTATGCGCGTTTGCAATTTTAATTATATTCGTTATATTGTAACTGTTCGGTTGGCAGCTATGAATTATCTTGAATTTGATTGGCCCTCGGGGTCACGTGCTTATACTGTGATACGTTGGCTTTCCCCTATAGCCAGTGTTTTATTGATCGCTCGCCTGCGATACCTAGTCTAAGCATGAGAAGAAGGGGGAAACGAAACCCTCTATTAAAATTATTATTATTGTATTATGAGTAAGAAGATGCGTAACGGGAATAAAGTTCTCTAAATCTTGTGTTCTTTGTGCATATCTCGTGCCATGCTGTAATCCGTCCTATGGTTCCTGATAAATGCTGTAATACATTCTTGAGTGTTTTATCCCTTCCTGTTCCCTCTCAGTTTTTGTCGTCTCATTGCCATATCGGCACGTTCATGAGAATAGATTCCTGTCATTAATCTTATCCTCTTTTACCATCCTCTTTCTATCTCGCTAAGAAAAAAAACGAAATGACTGTTATTTGTCGTGTTGATTTCGCGAGTTCCATTCCGTTATCAATTTCTGCTCTATGGGACGGCACTGGCAGGAATAGTATCTCCTAACGTTCGGCGCGCGGCATTACATTATATCATATTTTTTTTATTTATTTTATTATATGCTCTTATATTTAACTGTAAATTTAATTTTACAATCTTGCGCTACAAAATATTAATTTCATTTGCACACTACAAATTTATAAATGCATGCAAAGCTATTACAATGAATCTCAAAATTACACGTAATGTAGTAATTATGCACAAAAATTTTTTACAGTATTAAAAATTTTTATGCATAATTATAACATTTTATGCATAATAAAAGTATTATTATGAATATTGGTGAGCGAGAGACATCGGGATATCTCACTCGATTAGTAACATATGTGTGAGACAGCGAAAGGACACTGTGAGCCAACAATTACACTTTTTCATTGCGTCACTCATAGTACAAACGAGACTGACGTAATTGATGTATTTGTGGGTATATGCGCGCGCGCGCGCACGCAATATATTTTTCTAAAACAGAGCTTCCCAGATTTGTATGGATCATGATCTTTTTGAAATGGCAAGCACCATGTATTATTTATTTACATCTTAAGTAGTTATAGTGTTTTTAGTTTGACTAAACCTATTTCATGTAAAATTGTAACCAAATCTTATTCACCTGAAATAAAAAATAAAATTATTTTCGTAGAAAACGGCTTTTTTATATTAATGTATAATTTATTTATATAACCTGCAATATTATAATTAATACATGTTATGTATTTCAAAAAAGATAAAAACTACATTAAAAATTCTAGTATTACTTTTATATTGATTAAAGTTATTGATCCAAAAATTAGAATGAATAATTTTAGCTTCAGATTTTTGTTAAAGTTCTTATGGGTTTTCCTCCTTTGCTAGTTATCACGTCAACTTCAGGAATCTTCTTTATTTTTAACAAAATCTGGATGTCCCATCATTCTACCATCATCATCATTCATATCACCGATTCCCTAACTTCTCTAATTTACTATTGATAAATATCATTCTCTCTCTCTCTCTCTCTTTCCCCCCTCCCCCTTCTCTCTCTCTCTCTTTTTAAAATTTCTATAAAATATAATGTCTAATTTTTAGTACTAGATTTCTAATTGTCATTGTAAATAAATTTAATAGACTAAATAGATTGTTCTTAGCAGATACATGGGGAGATAATGATTCTTCAGGAAGACTTTTAAATTGTTATTTGCAACGTTATTTACAATTATATAAAATAAAAAATAAAGTCAGTAAAAATATTTTATTTTAGTTAAATATTGTTTTGATGACAATGTTAGGTTAATAAGGATTATTAGGTTTATCGTCTGTTTTTTAAGTATTAGATGTACAACTTTGCTTCCGTTTTTTTTTCGAAATTCGAGGCTTTATTGTAAAAAACTAGTTATACATTTATGATTCAAAGTATTGTCCATCGCTAGCCACTACTTTCTCCTATCTTTCGGGTAGCGTACGAATCTCGCGTCGAAAAAACTGGTCATCTTTTGAGGCTATCCATGAATCGATCCAATTTTTTACTTCTTCATAAGATCGGAAGTGCTGGTCAGCCAAGCCGTTGATCGAAACAAGTGATAATCAGAGGGAGCAATGTCTGGAGAATACGGCGGGTGGGGTAGGTCTTCCCATTTCAATATTTCCAAGTATGTCTTGACCACTTTCGCAACATAGGGTCGAGCATTGTCATGCTGCAAAATCACTTTATCGTGTCTCTCGTTGTATTGCGGCCGTTTGTCTTTCAATGCTCGGCTCAAACGCATCAATTGTATTGATAACGTAACATAGAACTACTTCCAGTAATTATAATATTTGATATAAAAAATTTATTAGTGTAAAAAATACATTTGATATATCATTAGAGCAATTAGTATTATTTTAGTTAATAAAAATAATATTTTACAGTATTATTAAAAATAAGTTATTAGGTGTCATCATAGATGTCATCATTTGTACATTACTACATTTAACATTAATTATGTTTTTTTATGCTCCGTCTTTTTCACAGCTTTGAACAGATATGTTACAATTATACATTAGTATTATAAATACTCATTCTTCGAAGGAGCAGTTCCCGTAGAAATAAAGTATGATAAGTAAAGATTCGGATTCGGATGGGTGACCGCGCATCATAAAATTAGTTCTCGAATTCATAAAATAAATTTTTTTTTATTATAATTTTGTCGTGTATCCTCGGAAATATGATGCTAATCAATAATATTTATTTTCACAATAAAATTTCAATAAAATTTTAATGAAATTTTCTCCACCACTATTAGTGACTACTTGTTGAATTTACTTATTGCATTATTGATACTAGTAGTATATTTTTATGCTGACTAGATCAATTCAAGATTTTATTTTCAACTCGAAAATCGAAATTGGAGCCAAAAATCTATTGAAATCATAAAAATTTCGAAAACTTTTGACTTTTATTTTCGACATCGAAATGATGTCTTTTCAAGAAATTATTTCTGACTGGATTTAGGATATTAGAGGAGGTGATACTCCAGTTACATTTTACACGATAACTGGTTTACTTAATCAATAATGAATATTTAAGTTTAAAACTTGACAATTACATTCATTAAAATGTTATTGAATCAATTCTGAAATCAAAATTACGAAATATTTATTATTTAGGACTATTATTAAAAATG